CCCCAAAACCCCAAAACCCCAAAACCCCAAAACCCCTAGGATCTCATTTGATATTGAAATGAACAATTTAGTGGTTACACTTCTAAAATTGTATTACTAATTATCGTAGCTAACCCAGTGGCAATAAAGCTCCCGAAGTCTGCTCATACTGCAAGATAATTTATCAAAATCTCTCTGTTCTCTTTGGTAACTCTTGAATCATCAAGAACTCTGTAATAAGAAAAGAGGTAGCCCCATCCTCCAAAAAGTCCAGTGAAGAGGGCGAGAATCAGGAGGATGTATCTATCAACATCTACATACCAAAGAGCGAATCCAAAATAGACAATGCAGAGGATAAACATAACAATAGAGATTTTACCAGTCGCTTTTGATTTATAACAGTATAGAGTAGATCTAGCAGTTAGAACCCCTACTTGGTACAAAAACTGGCTTACAGTGTATAGATTTCTTTCCAAGTACACATCACTCTCGAAAGAATTCCTAAGTTGTGCCAATCTGTCAAAGAAGCAGGTGATAATAATGTACTCAAAGAAGTACAGAAGGAAAATCAGAGGGTGATTCCAGGGGTCAATCCAATATGCCTGCCATACTGTTTGATTCTTAGTCTCTACTTTATCTTCTTCTGAATCTTTGTAATCTTGGGATAAATCTTCACCTAAAAATGTTAAAAGTAAAGCCATTACTCCATTCATTCGAGTTTGTCATTTCTGATAACAAATAATTGAATGATCTACTGTTTTCATAAAGATTGTGCAACTCCAAGAAATTAAAGGCATAGATTATAGCAAGAGGCATTAGGCAGGCAAAGATAACCCAGTCTGCAACTCCATAATCATTCAGGATCATATAAAGCATGCTTGAAAATAGCCCACACATGCCTGTTCCTGAGCTGAATGGGCCTACGTATTCTGAAGGGAACCTCCGAATGAATCCATAATGTATAACCTGGCCCCATGCAGATCCAATTCCCACAAAGAGTGCTCCAAAAATTACAAAATAGAAGTTAATGAATCATCCTATAGTGATAATAGCATAGCCTATAAACATAAATGTCGCGTTTCAAAGAAGTCTCAGCCTGGGTGAGTACTTCACCAGCCATATGGCGTTTATAAACAGTATCACTACATTCCCAAAACTGGCTGAAAATGTAAGCATCGGTACCAGGTTCTTCTGGCCAAAGAAGAGAGCTATGCTCTCACTTGAAGATAGTAGAAGGAAGAACCCGAATGAGTTGATCAGGCCTTGGATTGTGAACTGAAGCTTTGCCTGAGTGGAAGGGGACATTCAGGAGGGTGTGTCGTCGTCCATTTTTAGGAAGGAATTTATAATTTAAAAGTCATTCTTGAGGAGCGGAGTGGGGTTTTGGGGTTTTGGGGTTTTGGGG